AGGTCGGGCCCGGGCTCGGCCTTTTAAAGGCTCAGGCGCGGGGGAACGCCGGGCCGGCTCCAGGAGGGCGCGGGGGCAGGTGGGCGCGGGGACACCGGCTTACTCCCGTGCGCGTTGTGGTGCTTTCAGCAAATACAGAGCAACTTCATCGTGGTGATACACCCTGGCTCGACGACTCTGCGGCTCGGGAGGGCCACGGACACGCTTCCCGCTGGCATTCCATTCCCCATGTCATCGCGCGGCGGCACAAGCAGCAGGGACAGGCGGCCTACAGAGACAGCTGGCTCCTGAGGGACGGGCTCAACGTAAGCCGGGCCACGCACCGGTGGCGTGTCCTCCGAACTTGCTAAAACGGATGTTTTAACGACGTATTTCTGTTGCATTTTTTTGTTGTGTAATGCGTATCTTCCCCTCATGCATTCTGTTTTTCCAGAGAGGAATAAATCTCGAGACAAACTTTTTTCCCCTTTTAATGTGCTGTAGATGCCACCTTACTGAAGTCAGTAGATTTGCACCACTCTGTTAGGGCTTTATGTGATTTGTTCATAATGAACTAAATCCAATGAATTGATGGGTTGAGGGTTTGTACTCATTGATTTCTGTGGTCTGATATCACACACGGTATTGCTGTTTATAGAATGACAACTGTAGAACTAGAATTGGGCTGCCCCCTTTGTGAACGAGTTGGTTACAAGCTGGCTTGTAACTTCAGTAACATAGCCAGTAGTTTTAGTCTAACCTGCTCAAAAAATATAGGTAGTGATCTTATATATACTTTGAATCTGTACAAAAAATCACTAGTCAAATTAATGTCTCTAATATTAAACCTCACCTTTAAATAATCGAGATCTATTTAAACATTTTTGCTCCTGCTTAATATTTCTATAGTTAAATAGATAATGTCCTGAGCTCATCACTCTGGAGATGAAGTCCAGCAGCCATTACAATCAGTTCAAAGATTCAAGTTGACTTAGACAAATGGGTGTTGGGAACCCTAATATAAAAAAGTTTCTTTAAAAATAAGTGTATGTTTATTGTACAATGTGCAAACCTTCTGTCCTTTCTACAGTCTATCAACTACAGTAATGATTTCATTGTTTAGTAATAGCTTCGGTATTACCAGCATACAGACATGGAGTTAGAAAGTAAGTATTTACATTGTATATTTTTGGGTTTTGTTTAGAAACCTGAAAGTACTGAGCAGAGACAAAATGGCCTTAAAATGGTGGACCAAGCAATATGGTCCAAAAAGATGTCAAATGGCGCAAGGCGTATACCGGTGTCACCTGATCAGGTAACTTATTCTTAAGATTTTATGACATTGTTCATTCATATAGTCATTTGGTGTGATGCTATATTTTAGTGGGGAAGAATAGATATCCTTTATACAGCAAATATGGATAGTGCTATTGTGTGACCTAACTCTGAAGAGCTGAGGAGATGAAGATTTAAACTGGTTCTTCGAGGGGTGGGAGGTTTCTTTTTTTTTTCATGCATGGTGAAATGTTTATCATCAACAGCATTTGTTTTGATTACATTTCAGGCCAGGTCATACAACAGACAGATGCGGCCAGCTATTTTAGATCACAGTTCTGGGGCCAAGTGGACAAACACATCAAATCATCCTGAATTTTTGGTAGGAGAAGAGGTAAGATTCATTTTCCCGCTGAAATGAGGCTTAGTATTGTTTTAATGCGGCTGCGTAATCAGTAGCAGTTTGCTATATGTTAGTATGTATTGAAAGGCATATAAATTTAGTCAAGCAAAACATGAGAAGCTTTACTATGGATGAACAGAATATTTATTATCATTCAGCAAGACCAGACAGTTTCCCCCATTTGCCTAGCAAGTAACCTTGATCCTTTGCTGCTATAAATCAGTGTTTCTGCAGGGACTAGGTGAGAACTTTGCCCATGTGGTATAATCCAGAGAAAAGGCAAGAAACTGGTAAAAGGATCAGTACATGGAATCACTGCTGAGTAATTAGGTATTCATGAGCTTCAAAGAGTCTTTAAATTATTTTAGACACTAATTTGAGATAATGGAAAAATATACTGTTATGTTCATAGTAGATGTCTATGGATATGAAAATTCAAACAATTTAAACCATGTATTTAATGTCTTTTTTATTTTAGTGCTTTATAATCAAGCCCTGTTAAAAAGAAATGCACTGTATTGCTGTCACATTGGCCTGAGTGCTGCTGTATGTCTTGTATCTGCTTCTGAAATATTTTCCTAGTATTTGTTACTAATCTTTTGGGAAAAACAATGCCTAGAACATTGTCTCTTATTTTCAGGCACTGTATGTTAATCCACTAGATTCTTATAATATACATTGGCCTATTAGAAGAGGGCAGTTGAATCTCCACACAGGCCCTGGTGGCTCCCTCACTGCAGTATTAGCAGACCTTGAAGTTATATGGTCACATGCAATACAAAAATACCTGGAAATACCATTGAAAGACTTAAAGGTGAGCTGTGAACACATTAATGTGGGCCGTATCCACTTCTCTAAACGTTATTATAAAAGAGAAGCAACCTGCTGTTATTTTAGCCTCTCCTTGGTGGTTTTCTTAAAGAATAAATTCTTTCTGCTGGTGAGCATGGTTCCTAAGACTTCATTTGGAATTTTATGCATGTCTTTAAGACAAAAATTGTTAATAAAACTTCTACCAAGAAGGTTTGGAAATCCCATTATAGAAATTTCAGTCTTAGTCTGTTTGGGATTTTTTAATTGACTAAAAAGGAGGCAACTGAGGAACGGGTGCCTAATACTTGCATAAGTTCTTCTCCTTGCTGAGTATAGGTGTTTTTCTCATATCTGATGTACTTTTAAAGACTTTAGTGACCTATAAACTCTTAACTTGGTACTTACTCTGAACGCATTTTTTTAAATTATTAAAACCCTTCCCATAATTTTGCTTCTTTTAATAATTTGTATATTATGCTTTCTTCCTTAGCATCAGGTATTCAAGAATGTAAAGAGAAACTTAATTTGAGAGCTGGCTTTAATATACTGTTCTTATCTTCAGTACTACAGATGCATTTTACTAATTCCAGACATCTATAATAAACAACATGTGAAAGAACTGGTAAATATGATCCTAATGAAGATGGGCTTCTCAGGTAAAACCATACATAAGCAAGCACTTATCATTAATAGTGTAAAGATTTTTTACCTTTAAGGCACATTTTTGCACATCAATCCCAGTTTGGCTGGGACTAGCACCTTTCATCTTTTGCTATTCCCATAACTGTTGTCTCTTTCAATGGGGCAAAATGGTTGGCTAGCATTGAAACAAGTTTCTTCGTTTGCTATTAGTTATTCCAACTGTGGGCTTCTCACTTCAGCTGAGACAAAAGCAGCAACAGTCTGATTTCTCAAGTATTTCTAAAATGCACAATGTTAACTCCACAGAGTATTAAGATTCTGAGACTTCAGAACAAAAGTATATGATGTAAGATGCTGCTACTGTCCTCTCTATAGGATGACATAATAGGAGGTTTTCAGTTAAACTGCTGGAAGTTTCTGGCTAGTCTTCTGGAAAGAACTGCTGTAGTCTTAGCCATCTTTCTCTGATTTCACATTTAGAGAAAACGCAGCAAGTCATTATGGAAGGCCCAGTAACCCAACCATATGGAGCATACTTAATTTGAAATAATCGGAGTAGTAGTACCTTTGGTGCTGCAAAGTCCTTTTTTGTATTAGGTATGCAAGGAAGGAGGCTTAAAAAGTGGACAAGAATAATAAGTTAAATGATAGAGACTAGTCAAATGGTAAGTTAATTGTAAGATGTTGAAGATTAATAACTGCTGTTGTTTAATAATTAATCAGTACGAAGTGCAAACAGTTCCCAAGTATTACTCTCAGCAGAATATGTGCTTAGATATTACTGCTTCCCATCTGAAAGAATTAAGTAGGTGGTAAATAAATACGGCAAAAAGAGAGACTGATCTCATGAGATCTAAATTTTTTTCACATGCATACATGTATTTGATTTGTTTCATTGTGTTAAAATGAACAAGCCATTAGTTTTAGGTTTTAATCAGAATGGTTCTAAATCATACTCTGGTTGATTCCTCCTAAGTTTTTACATAGAAGTAATGTGAACAGTACCTAATAATACTACTACTATGTAAAAATGTACTGGCACTAGACAGAGGAATTTGCAGTTGAAATGTGTTAGCTTCAGAGGAACAGGAAGAATACTAAGAAAAATACACAAAGCTTCATGCTCTTCTGATACATGAAAGTGAAAATCAGAAAGTATCCTGAATAACTCTTCACAGTGCCGTTTCCTAAATAATCAGTGAAGAGCTGAACTAATTATACAGCATAACTAAACTTTCTTAATATACTTAAAAACATTTGCCTTTAAAACAGTAATTCTACTTAGTTTTTGTCTACAAAGCACAGCTCAATTGAGTTACTCTTTTCCTTCATTGGCTAGGCAGATAGACTGAAGCCTCCAGTACATCTCAGGTTTAAGTATGGGCTTCTGATACAAATACAAAGGTACTCTTTCACAGAGTTAAAGGTGGATTGAAAGGAAAGCAGACAGTGAAATTGGACCTTTAAAACAGTAATTCTACTTAGTTTTTGTCTACAAAGCACAGCTCAATTGAGTTACTCTTTTCCTTCATTGGCTAGGCAGATAGACTGAAGCCTCCAGTACATCTCAGGTTTAAGTATGGGCTTCTGATACAAATACAAAGGTACTCTTTCACAGAGTTAAAGGTGGATTGAAAGGAAAGCAGACAGTGAAATTGGACCTTGTTTTATAACTATTTAAAGAATATATCTAAAATGCTAATGGTAATGATATTTGATTAAAACTAGAAAAAAATTGGGAAGATGCTTCATGTGCATCTGATAACCGAGTCCCTGCAACACTGGTTACAAAACCAAGTAAAGTCTGGAGGCAGTATCTTGAAACTTGCAAAAAATAAGAACATTTGAACATAGGCATCCACCCCACTCCTAGCTTTTCTCAGGACTTTAAGGGCCTACCCAACAAAAAATCTGTAAGTCCCCCCCTACCCCATCTCCACTAAATATACAGACTTTCAGTGCAGAGTCAGGCTATTAGTAGATTTTAAAAGACACTAAGATGTCCTTTAAATATCAGCAACGTGGCTCTGGAGCTTGGCATAAATTGGATATAATTTTTTCTCATATTGCTAGGAATTGTTGTACACCAGGAGTCTGTCTGTGCTACCTTTGGAAGTGGTTTAAGCAGCGCATGTATAGTAGATGTGGGAGATCAGAAGACAAGTGTTTGCTGTGTGGAAGATGGTGTTTCCCATCGCAACACCAGGTATCTTTTAATATGCAGAATTATTATAAGCATGTACTTAGTTGCTTACCAAAGACTTGGTAAAGTCTTTAAAGTCTTAAAAACAAGATTTTTTTTTTTTACAAATACAAGGGTTTTTTTACTGCGAGCTATGCGACAGGGTCATCATGTTATGATATGAACCTTAAAGAACTCTGACATCCTTAAAAGAAGGAAACATGCAGAACTGATACCGTGCTCTGCAAACTATGTGGAGGTCATGATCACAGCATGTCTGAAATGTTGCTTGTATTCCTATATATGCTACTGTAAAAGACCAGTATTTCAGCAAATTAATAACCTTTTTCTTCTCTCTGCTTTAGGCTGTGCCTTGCATATGGAGGATCTGATGTGTCAAGGTGTTTTTATTGGCTTATGCAACGAGCAGGATTCCCATACAGAGACTGTCAGTTAACTAATAAGTTGGATTGCCTGCTGCTTCAGCACTTAAAGGAGACATTTTGTCATCTAGACCAGGTGAGAAGGGAAAATGGTATATTCTCCAAGTAATTTTTTTTTTTTTTCCTTTAAAGAATGCTACTCTGGGGAACCCTTTTGCGAGTCTACGAGTGCTTGTAAATGGAATAAAATGTAGTATTTTGCTCAGTAGAATACTGGCAAAAGCTGGAGAAGCTTTAGACTCGAAGTATTTGTAACTTGTTTTATTTTTCTTCTAGTTGAAAGAATCCCAACTCTTAGAAAGATAGTTTCTTTGTTCTTATTACTGAAAGCAGCTGATAGTAGCTGCATATTTGCTGGTTTTCAACTTCAGTTTTGTAAGGTCTGGCAGCAGGTCTCTCCTTTCTGCACAAAGTCTCATTGTAAAGGCTTAGGCATGTAGAAAGCTGTTTTGGCAGATTGTGCTACAAGGAAAAGACTTCAAAGAGCTCAAGGATAGGTAAATGAAATTCACAGTCTGAGGAGTTTTGTTACTTTTTGTTGTTTCCTACAATTTAAATAGATTATGCAGCTTGATAGAGAGATATAAAAGCTACAATTTTTTTTACATTGTTTTTGACCTTAGGATATTTCTGGATTGCAAGACCATGAGTTCCAGATTCGTCATCCGGATTCTCCAGCTTTATTATACCAGTTCCGATTAGGAGATGAAAAATTACAGGTGGTTTTTTTTGTTTTTTTTTTAATTACAAGAATTATATTCAGCATTCAGGCTCAGGGCCTCACTTTGTATCGGTTCAGTGCTACTAAGCCCATATGATTTATGGATTGTTCTTAACATATGCTTGTTGATAGTTTTAAAATTAATTCCTATGTGTATGAATGGGCCTAATGCAGCACTAGTGGATGCACAAGACTTCCTAACTAGCTTTAGCCAGAATGGTTGTAGCTTCAACTAAATATGATGATATTTATCCTTCAAGGGTAAGGAATGAATGCTAATTTTGCAAGTTTTTCACCTCACTCTTGATTTTTCTAATTCTGTAACAAACTGCATTTGAATACTTATTTATCATACAATGCCAGAATCTGTAAAGAAACCTATATACATGTATAATTTTATGTTTTGGGGTTTTCCTTAATTATACAAAGCTGAAGACACTTTAGCCTTTTACAAAACTATTTGAAAAGAATGTGTATTTAATTTTCAAATGTGAGAAAAACAGAACAAGCTTTTTCTTTTTTTATAGTAAGTACCGAAAAAAAACCCCAAAAAACCAACTATGTTGTAAAACCACGTCAAATGTCTCATTCTTCAGGCTCCAATGGCTCTGTTTTATCCAGCAACATTTGGAATTGTTGGACAAAAAATGACAACTTTGCAACACAGGTCACAAGGTGACCCTGAGGATCCTCATGATGAACATTATCTGCTAGCCACACAAAGTAAGCAGGAGCAGGTGTGTGAATGCTCAATTTTATTTTTCATTAAGTATTATTTAATTGGGGAATAAAATCAGGACTCATTAGCTCATCTTAGAAACCAAAGTTCGTTATCTGGGCCAGAAGCATTAAAAAATAAATTTAGAGTAAGGAATTACGGATGTCTAGACAAGTCCTTAATTAGAACTGTTTATTTTCAGAGTCTAAGAGGGCTTCATATTATGGCATTGATACATCTGATGGAGTTCAAAATAAAACCCTTACTTTGGAAGTGAGGATTAAAATGAAATAATACAATGCTTAACCTTTCTGTGCAAAAAGGTGACAAGAAGTGCAGTGGTGTTTAGTTAAGTCTTTGTATTGTTCTGTAATCTGCTGAAGATCTTTTTGCATTTTTCATAGTTCAACTTGTTTTCTCATTTTTAAGTCTGCAAAAGCTACAGCTGATAGAAAATCTATGTCGAAGCCTGGTGCGTTTGAGGGAGACTTGAGAGGCCAAGCCTCAGACATTTCAGAGAGGATCTACCCACAAGAAGTGGAACTGGGATCTTCCCAGAGTGACTGTATGATATCTGGAAATGATTCAGAGGAACCTTTAACTGCACACATGTCCAGGAAAACAGCTATTTCTCAGTTTGAAGGCAAAGCCTTAGGCCTTGACAAAGCCATTCTTCATAGTATTGACTGCTGCGGTAAGAATTACATTTGTACAATTCTGTAAAATATGCATGTCAGAAGTTATGGTAACTTCTATATTTTACCAAAGTAACACGTATGTCCCTAAGTTTTCATCATCTCTGGAGTTCCTTATGCTTGCACCTTTGCTGAGGTTTCTTGAGCGAGATGTTTTGAATCTCCAAGGAATAGGAAAAGAATTTTAAAAGCAAACACTTACCGGTTTCTGTCTGGTTTGACTTGCACTAAATTCTTTATAATACAAATACAGGCCATATTAACTTTAAAAAACAGATATATTTCTATATATCCATTCATTCCAGCATCTGATGATACAAAAAAGAAGATGTACAGCTCCATCTTAGTAGTGGGAGGAGGCCTTATGTTTCATAAAGCTCAAGAGTTTCTTCAACACCGAATTCTCAACAAAATGCCACCTTCTTTTAGAAGAGTCGTTGAAAATGTTGAAGTCATCACAAGACCGAAGGTATACTGTTAACTGATAGCTAAATGGTTAATAACTATGACTAGTTAAAATCTTCAAAAGATTAAAAAAATACATACTCTTTCAAAACCACAGATTAGTTGCATATCTGAGGAGATTTAGGAGAGCTTTCAGCTCATAACATAGCGCTCTCCAATTATAGGCAGGAAGTTAGAGGTATAGCAAGAGTGTTACTAGTATTGATCACTGAAGCGTTTATTAGCTAAAGGCCATATTCTTAAAGAAGCAGTTAGTACTGGCCCGTGAAGTTAACCTGTCTGGCTCAGCAAGAAATTGTGTTAGGGTTTTTTATTACTATTAAGGTAAAAGAAAGTATGGCATTAAAAGAGCAATTTTCATTTGGCATTAATCAGCAAAATTTGTAAAAACAAAACTTGAGTATTTTTCAGAGCCTCCATTGCTGAGGGCAGGATTTCCATGACATGCCTAGAAGGCATCTTAAAAAAAAAAAAAAAGGTGACTTTGCTAAACACCTTAAATATTCTTTCCGTAGTTGTATCTCACTATTTTTTCCTAAATAATTTTGAAAAACTTCTTTTCTCCTCCCCTCACCCCCGAGATTCTAAGTGGTGAATACTGTTGGAAAAGTTAGGATACAAGTTTTGAGAACTATGCAAATTTACACCAATGATTGTGTACAATCTGTGTTTTGAATTTAGGATATGGATCCCCGCTTAATTGCATGGAAAGGAGGTGCAGTTTTAGCCTGTCTTGATACAACTCAGGAGCTATGGATATATCAGCGAGAATGGCAGCGTTTTGGTGTCAGAATGTTACGAGAGCGAGCTGCATTTGTATGGTAATGGATATGTTTACAGTGGAACATGATTAATTGGTGATTCTTTTCCCCAAATGCCCCCTTTTCCAGTGCAGATGTATTGATCTTCTGCTGATAGATATTTTTGTATTTTATTAAAACTAACTTCAACTGAGATTTTTCCAAAAGTGGTGCAAGTCTTCAGCATTGCTATACTTCATCTTTTGAATTGTATGCGTTGAATTCTGTGTACAAAGTATCACAGTCATCTCCAAATTCACTACATTTATATTATGTAGGTTACGTACATTAAAATCGCACAGTGTGGGAATTTGAGGTATAAAATACTGATGTGGCAGATGTTAAGCCAAGATTCATTCCAGATTCATTCCAGTACACAGAAGCAATAGCTGAAGAGTGCAGGCTGTGGGCTTAATGCCTTATTCCGATTCATACTCTAACGTAACCAGGAGATGAAATTGTTACGTAAGCAATCATCATGGAAAAAGTGTAATGGAGAACCCAAACTACAGTTGCTGTTGGTATTTTGCTTATATAATAAATCATATTATTCAGCAGAAAGACTTAAGAATTTGAAAGTGGAGTATTTTTTCTTGCCTGTTCTCATCATCAAAAGCTCTTGCTAGCTTTTCATTATCCATGGCAGTTATCCACTCTTTTCCCTATTTAAAAAATCCAATATAATACACTCAAAAGAGCTAGATGCATTTTCATATAGCCAGCACCAACCTCAGTCCTATGGTACAGGCACATGAGCTTTTTCTCCCAACAAATATTCCTTAGTTACAGAAGTGCTATTTGTTAGGTTTTTTTCTTCTGTAATGAAGGCTCCCGCCACCCTCAGATCACACCTCAAATCCATATCTGCAATTATAATTTAGTTTAAAACTATTAAAACACTTCTAACAATATAATAAATATCAAAGATCAATGAATGTGGTTTCTACAAAGCACAGGAGAAAGAACTGATTTCCTTTTAATCTGCTTTCATTAAAAGTTCTAAAGAGAAAGGATATTTCCACCCAACTTATGGATTATGCTGTAATCTTACCTGAAAGTATTTTACTGCAGGCTATGATTACATTCTTGTATTTTATTTAAGACTAGGACCTTTGGGCTCTCTTTTTATTCAAGATATAGCATACAATACTTCAAATTTTACTCTGGCAAGATTAGGTGTCATTGCTGGGTTTGTTTTTTTGGGGCGAGAAGGGGGCATTCCCTTCAAGAAAAGGGTCCAGAATTCCTGTTATAGAAGAAAGGGTTTTTTTTTTTTTAAGTCGCATGATTGTGATACAGAAGAGAAAGTACATATGTACAAAGATCTTGTTTAGATTTGTTGATATGCAAATGGTTCTCCACGGCAAACATTTCACAAGTCAAGTGCTAACGCTTGGACACCCTGAAGGGTGAGGTAAATTACTCCACTTTAAAAGCTACATTATTCTTACAACTGCGTATCAAACATGCTGTAAATGCACGCTGTAACTCAATAGAGTAACAGAATCACAAAACCAGCCTTTAAGTCATGTTGGAAAACCTGTGCTGCTTAACTGCACCTGAGGCTCCCATCAGTTAACTTCACAAACTCTACACAGAGGAGAGCAGTACTTGTAAATTACTTGATGGACTGTGTTCTGGTATTTACACAATCAATTATTTCTGACTGACAGTTTTATTTGAGCACAAATTTCTTATAATTTCATTTCTTATTATGGAAGTCACTTCTTAGTTTGCCACAATTTAGAAATGTTTTGTTCAGGATTTAGTTCAAATAAGTAAGCTTGTATTAAATATGGTCCAGCAGCTACAGCGCCTTACTGTTTGGTCAGCTATTGATACTGTTGTCTTCAGTTTTGTTAAGACTAGAGCTCAATATCCAGACACCTGTTAATTTCCTATTTCTTGCTATGCACCTCATTGCATGAAACAGAAAGGTCTCTGCAGAAGTTCTCAACGTCCTTCATAAGACAGTATTTTGGACAGAAGTTCAGAGCACTTGGTAAAGCGTCTTGTGAACTCACCTCTTTGAAAGAAACAACCATATATTTTTGTACAGAGGACTGATTCGTCATGTCACTGCAGAAGAGGTTACCTGCAAGAGTGAACGTATTTTCCATGTTACTGTGGTTTCTCATTGCTTTTACAAGAAACATCACATGCAGCAGCGGTAGGGTTTGAACTGAGGAAAATTACCCTATCTGCTGCAGCTTTTTGAGCAGCAAGCCAGTATAAAGGACCATTTTCAGCAATTCTCCTTTTCTCCCACACATCTAGAATAACATCAGTCTGGCAGCCCTCCCGCAGGAGTTCAGCAAAAGAAAGGACAGTGTGATGAAAACACGCTGCTTCTGGATATATAACCAGTACTTTAACATGTAGTTGTAGCTGCACCTGATGGAAGAATCACCTCCTAAATGAATCTTGAACGAAAAAGACACCATATGCTCTCTTAAAATGTCAGTATTTCTAGAAACAATGTAAACAAAATTTGAATGGCATTCTAAATTGGTATGGAGGAGTTGACTCTGTGCCTCTTACGTTTTTGCTAGAAAAAATGATACTTTTGTATAAAAGTATGAAAAGCAAAAATAGTGAACTAAAATTAGAATTTAGAGCTCAGATTGCCATCTTCATGATGAAACAGATCCAACTTAGACAACTTATCTACACTTCATCTCTCCAAGAATGTTGAAAACAATTTAGCAAGACAGTGTTCAGTAGCTAGAACAGTTTAAGGTCTACTACACCGAGGGAGCAGCCTTGCATTACATACTGATGAGAAGAGGGTAGCAGAGGCATGGTACTTAATCTGTTAGTCATTCTGCAAAACTAATACTGTGGAAAAAAGTGCTAAGCAAACAAAAATTAAACAGCAAAATGCTCGCATGACCCCAGTTGATGTTTGCTAAAGAAGAAACGGCTGACCAAAAAATTGTCCACACTCTAATGATTCACTGTTTTTACAAGTGTTTAAGAGATTAAATATTTACTCTCCATTTAGGAAAAGAACAATGGAAGGAAAAATGCTAGGCCTACATTAGCAGGTAGTGTGGTAGAATGGCAGAGACTACAGAGCAAAACAGTTGGGGCCAAGGAACAGATTTCTGCACTAAGTATTTCAGGGGAGTTACTGCAGCCTAGCCCTAGTCCAGTCCTGTGGCCTACATACCCATTAGTGGTTGGACTATGTTAGATTCATTAGAGCACATCTTCCAGTTTAATTTCATCTGAGAGAATCGAGGCTGCACTCCTCAACCACCCTGCAATACGAACCAAACCGTAGTGAGGCCGGTGGGCAAGTCCCTTCAAAAGCGCAATACTGATTTCAACTAAAACATTAATGTAGCCACATCTGGAGTTTCCTAAACAAACTTGAGAGAGTTTCTATTACGATGATACCTAAAAGGTAGTCTCTTTCATATGACCTTATCTCCTCTAAAAGGATGCTTGCAGCAAAACTCGAAGAACAGGAATTATAGAAATACTAAAGTTCAAAAAAGTGAGGACTCTTACCTTAGTCTGTGATGACGCAAGCTACCACAGCAATAATACATACTATTGCAAGTAGAGCAGCAAGGAGAAAACACACAAATCTTCCAACTGAACCGATTGTGAGGATCTCTCAAAGAGAAAGAACAATCACTTTGAAACAAGTCTTGCACAGCTGAAAAAGCTATCTTCAGTTAATAAATTATTGAAATGAGCATTTCCAATGTCTGTACATGGAAGAGAAATTGTGCTAAAAGGTAATGCAAAATGGTTAGTAATCACATTGAGAACTACAGAGCTGTTGAGTAAGTTACTTAATTTTCTTCCCTACTTTGAAAGAAACAAGACATACCAGTCTGAATCTGCTCCCTCCAAGTTCCTCCCACGTTTCTGGAATGTACTTTTCCTGCAGCCTGGCATCTCATCAGTTGTTCTCTCTTCCTTTTTGTTTAGAGTTTTACCATGGTCAATAGTTACAAAATAACCAATTCCTGAACTGCGGCATTAGCATATTAAGCATAAAACTTCAACTTTTAAGAGGAGGAAGATGAAAGGCAAGATTTGCCAAGGCCGGCGTACTTTAAGTCATCTAAGACCAGTCATCTGCTTTTTAACAGGATTTTGACATTCAAATATCTGTATACCAAAACATTTATTTTCCCAGATTTTCACAAACATGCAGGGGAAAATCTGCTGAATACACATGATACATAATGCAACAGAAAACCTTGAGCAGTTTCTGTTTAGTTTGCATGGAATATTGACTCAAGAATGACAAATACTCGACTAACCATTGGCTTTCATCCGCACGCAGTTTGTTAGGTTTTCTGTAGGCCTCGTCAGTCATATCCACACTTAGCAAATTATTGGGGGGCGGGGGAGAAGTAGAATAATTCCAATACACAGTTAAATGGGATTTCTGCACAGATTAATTCCTTTCACATATTTCCTTCTGTACTATGGTTTGGGCTCCTGACAGGAATACTGTGTTTCCTAAAACTGTTACCAGATTTTCTTGAAAGATTGTTTCCTTACAACTGATACAAATAACAAAAATGAAGCGAGATTCATGAGATAAGTAAGAATCCAAGAAAATTCAGTGTAAACATATCAGGTATGTTTGCTTTAAGCTTGTAACACAGGGACACTCTACAGAACATATAGACTTAAATTACCACCATGCGAAGAGGCTTGATATCAACCAATTCATAAGTAAAAAAAAAAAAAAAAAAAAAAAAAAAAAAAAAAAAAATGCTTGTGTCTTGTTTGTTAGTCAGAAATAGTACAACTCTTCACATCAATTAACTATATAAAAGCAAATAGTCTTTTCACTGAAAATAAATCAAAAATGTTACTTACCTCTACAAAAGTATCAGTGCTCTCATCACTCCCTGGTATCCTCGCAGAAAATCTAGTTTCATTTATCTAATAATGAAATGAAATCCCAAAGGAGTCTGGGAGGGAGAAAAAAAGTCAGAGGCATTTATCACAAAAGGAGTCATTACTAAGTTAAATCATATTTAATAGGCTTTAAAACTATTATATATTCTTATCAGAATTATAGATAGTGCATATATTTATCTTTAAATCTACTAGTCTAATATAACAAAACAGGGTAAATACCTGTCCCGATCCAATGTCGGGAGAGGTTTCAGTATGATCCCGAGACCAAGATTAAGACACAAACGAGGTCAAATGCCGTGTACCAAAGACAGCTTTTTATTATCAAAAGTAGAAAAGAGAAGTTAGTGATGACAGGATAGAATGGAATAAAAAGACAGAAGTTAAACAAGCATTCGGGACAGAGTTGCAAGGATAGTCACCACCATGGATCCACGGCGTCCCGAGGGTCCAAGTCTTTTGATGTTTCAGCAGTGGGCGATCGCACCAGGCTTGTCTTGGCAGTCCCTTTTATCCTCATTCCAGGGCTGCAATTTCCATGACAACAACACGTACCTGCATATCTCCGCATTCCTGCATATGCGCACATGTTTCACGCGACCCCAGGACCCCAGCCCCACTCTTCACGCGACTGGCGCCTGACTCGGCAGGATGTCTTTAAATACCTGCCGATCCAATGTCGGGAGAGGTTTCAGTATGATCCCGAGACCAAGATTAAGACACAAACGCGA